TGCAGGCCCCAATGTGGTAGTGGTGGCGGCGGCTCCTATTCAAAAGCCTGGCGGAAGAGCTCCGTCTTACAGGCCCTGTGGAACTGTAACAGGTCCCGCAGGGCCCTGATCTCCTCCGGGAGCTCATTCCACCAGATAGGAGCCGCCACCGAAAAGGACCTGGCCCTTGTGGCAGCAAGCCTGGCCTCTTTAGGGCCCGGGGTCAAGAGACGGTGTTGTGACCCCGACCGAAGCTTCATGGCTAACTGGGGATTTGAACGTGGGTCTCCACAGTCCTGGCCGCCCCTTTAACCGTTGCACAACTACCGGTCGAGCAGTACAAATTGCCAGCCTCCAGGTGGGACCTGGCGAATTACAGCTTATGTCTAGACTTCCAAGGTCATTTCCCGTGGAGAAAATGGCCGCTTTGGGGAGTGGTCTCTATGGCATTGTGCCCCGCTGAGGTCCCTCCCCTCCCCAAACCCCTCCCTCGTTCTCCCCCGGCTCCACCCCCAAAATCTCCAGGAATTTTCCTACCCAGAGCTGGCAACCTAGACGGTACAAAAGGGAGATTAGGCCAGTCTGTCTGTCCTGATCTTTTCCACCTGGTCGTCGTCAGCAGTGTTCCCTCTAAGCTGAGTTAGGGTGAGCTAGCTCACAGTTTTTTAGCCTCTGGCTCACACATTATTTTTGCCTTTGCTCAGGAAGGAGGGCTCCAGAGCAAACTAATTGATGCAGCAGCCCAATCGCTCACTCACAACTTTAATGCCGGTAGCTCACAAAGAAGAAGAAGAAGAAGAGGAGATTGGATTTATACCCCGCCCTTCACTTGGAGTCTCAGAGCGGCTTACAAACTCCTCTCCCTTCCCCTCCCCACAACAGACACCCTGTGAGGTAAAAGAAGAAGAAGATATTGGATTTATACCCCGCCCTTCACTACCCAAAGGTGTCTCAGAGCGGCTCACAAACTCCTTTCCCTTCCCTTCCCCTCCCCACAACAGACACCCTGTGAGGTAAAAGAAGAAGAAGAAGAGATTGGATTTATACCCCGCCCTTCACTACTCAAAGGAGTCTCAGAGCGGCTTACAAACTCCTTTCCCTTCCCCTCCTCACAATAGACACCCTGTGGGGTAAAAGAAGAAGAAGAGATTGGATTTATATCCCGCCCTTCACTACCCAAAGGTGTCTCAGAGCAGCTTACAAACTCCTTTCCCTTCCCCTCCCCACAACAGACACCCTGTGAGGTGGGTGGGGCTGAGAGAGCTCTGACAGAAACTGCTCTTTTTCAAGGACAGCTCTTGTCAGACTATGGCTTGCCCAAGGTCATCCAGCAGCTGCAAGTAGAGGAATGGGGAATCAAACCCGGTTCTCCCAGATTAGAGTCCGCGCACTTAACCACTACACCAAACTGGCTCTCAGTAGAATTTTTGCTCACAAGACTCCACTGCTTAGAGGGAGCATCGGTCATCAGTACTCTCAAAAAGAAAAGCAATAAAAATGTTTAAAAGAAAAAGAAAGAAATGGTGGGAGGGCTTTGGAAATATGAGTGTGGAACCTTTTCAGACCCTAAACGGTCCCAAGGGAGACAACAAAGCATGATCTTCACTTCTTTATTTAAAACAATTATAGCCTTCATAACGATGCACAGTTTTGTTTTGTTTTCATAGGTAAAGGTAAAGGCTCCCTTGCTCGAAAGCCAGTCGAATCCGACTCTAGGGTTGCAGTGCTCATCTCCGTTTCAAAGCCGAAGAGCCAGCGCTGTCCGAAGACGTTTCCGTGGTCATGTGGCCGGCATGACTAAACACCAAGGCGCGCAGAAAGTTTGTTTTTATATTTTATCGCAAAAAGCACATGATAAAACTAGCATCAAATACATTTACATAAATGAATAAGATTATACGTTACACAATAACAGAGAAACCAGTTATCCAATATCAGGGGTCATTTCGTAGAAAAAGAGGTGCAGGAGCGCATTAGCATAACTCATTAGCATAACTTATTTGCATATGCCACACCCCCTGACATTACCGGAAGTGTGCCAGAAGGCAACACCCACCGCTCAGGCTCCACTGGACTAGCTATCGGGGGGGGGGATGTGCAGATCTGCCCTCACAGAGGAGGGAGAGCTTGTACCTGAAGGTGGGCCAGGGGGGGCTCTGCAATTTACCTGGCTGCTTCTTGCTCCTCATGGCCCGACTGAGGGCTGCTGGGAGCAGGGGGTGGGGTTTGTTGCATGTGCCCGTCCCCTGGGCTCCTTACTGCCGGAGCTCTGCTCCTGTGCGCTCCCACAGGAAGTGACCCCTGGGTCCAATATTACTTAAGAACCCGACAAGAAAGAAAATTTCAACTGGAAGTTTGATACTAACGAAGGAAAGTATTTACTGGTTTAACCACCATTTCCAATTCTCAGTATCACAGGATTCCAAATTCTCATCACCCTCTCTGAATCTTGCAGTTTTTGCAATAAAAGTTAACTTTAATAATGTATACATTTCTTAAATTTTATTTAGCTAATCTTCATTTCTCTCAACTACCACTTCAAGAATTTGAGACGTCGCCTGGAAGTGACATCATCACGCCGGGCCTGTCGCCGGGTGACACTCTAGCAATCACCCTGAAAACTCTATGGTACCATAGAGTTTTCCAGGGTGATTGCTAGAGCATCGCCCAGTGACGGGCCTGGTGTGATGATGTCACTTCCGGGCGACGGCACTTCATGGGTGGGGTTCCCCTCGCCGGCCGGATCCTGGACCGGTGGATTGGGGGCCCTTTAAGCGGGGGAACCCCCTACTTGCAATATTTTGTTTATTTAACAGTGTCTGGTAACTGACACCTCTTGCTCTGAATTATTGCATCCAAATGTCTGCGCTGTTGCAATCCTGAGTATGCTGTTCAGGTGTGTGTATCTGTAAGCTGCAAACCTACAATGACGCAGCAGCAGCAGCAGAACTGGAAGAAGAAGCAGAAGACGGCCAGTTCCACTGCGGAGCCTGATAGAAGCCCGCCAGGGGCCTGATCCGGCCCCCGGGCCTAATGTTTGACATCCCTGCTCTATGGCATTATACCCTACAGAGGTCTCTCCCCACCCCAAACCCCGCCCTCCCCAGGCTCTACTCCCAAATCTCCAGGAATTTACTAACCTGGAGTTGGCAACAGTGTTCCCTCTAAGCTGAGTTAGTGTGAGCCAGCTCAGTTTTTTAGCCTCCAGCTCACAGATTTTTGTCTTAGCTCAGGGAGGAGGGCTCCAGAGCAAACTAATATATACAGTAGCCAAATTGCTTGCTCACAACTTTTAATGCCAGTAGCTCACAAGGTAGAATTTCTGCTCACAAGACTCCACAGCTTAGAGGGAACATTGGTTGGCAACCTAAAATTCTGTGTAGAATGGGCTCTTTTTGTACCAGGTACTCCTTTGCATATTAAGCGACACACCCCTAATGTAGCCAATCCACCCCTAATGTAGCCAATCCTGTGAGCTCTTGGAGGATTGGCTACATTAGGGGTGTGTGGCCTAATATGCAAAGGAGTTCCTGCTACAAAAAGAATCTATGAAGTTTCCCCCCCACACACACACACACAGCTACAGCCCTTCCAAGGAGACTGCTGCAGAATCAACACTTCTGATATTTTTAAAGAAAATTATATTGTTTCCTTCTTCCAAGTCTCATTCTTGTTATGTATTTCACGTTTTGCCGATGTGGAGTCACGGTGATGAATCATGTCGCTTTTCCTCAGTCATGGATCTCTTCTTTACTCAATAACAATACATGAAATTATTAGGATGGGGGGGGGGGATGCACGACAACCGTTTCCCCTCCCAAATAACAACCTTTTACCTGTATGTCCTTTCCTAAATCTGTGGTCTGGAGACTGACCTTGGGTCAGTCACAAGTTCCCTCAACTGTTCTCTCAAGACCAGTCCTCAAAAGAGCTCTCTCAGCCTCGCCTACCTCACAGGTGTGTCTGTTGTGGGGAGGGGAAGGGAAAGGAGATTGTAAGCCACTCTGAGACTCCGAGTGAAGGGCGGGGTATAAATCCAATCACTTCTTCCTCTTCCCTTTTTCTGGAACCACAGCTCTTGAATTTACCCATGCATAAGTCAAACAATGTAAACATGGCTGTTCTGGTTCTCCAAGAATTCAAGAGCTGTGGTTCCAGAAAAATTTATGCCTGAAGAAGATTTGTTCGAAACACGCAGGTTACGCCCGGGAGGCGTGTTGCTAGGCCTGCTTGCTAGCTGAATCACCTCATGGGAAAATACATCTACTAGGCTTGCTTGCTAAGCTGAATCATCACAGTGAGAAATACAAGCTGCCTGCTAGCTTTACCTGATGGATCATCACTTGGGAAATGTACAATAGGTTGCTGCATTGTTCGGTGCAAATAACTGTACATTGGTATTTATCCTCCATCAGGAAGAAGACAGTTGGAGTCTTCGTGTTATATAACTTAGTTTGAAAGTGTTTGAAATGTGATGTGGTCGTTTGAAAGTGTTTACAATACACTAGAGTTGATGCTGTGTATAAAAAGCAAATATATTTAGCTATAAGTACATGTGAATATTGTGTTTATTATTTCAACACGGTGTTTTCTGTGTTTACCTGCCTGGAGGTTGGCAAACCCCATAATTGGTGGGCGCACGGGCGGGCGGGCACCAGAAGGTAGCCTCGCCTAGGGCGCGAAAAAGCCTGGAGCCAGCCCTCACACCCTGTGAGGGAGGCGGGGCTGAGGGAGCTCTCTCGAGGACTGCCCATGAGAGAACAGCTCTGAGAGAACTTGTGACTGACCCAAGGCCGCACCAGCAGCCGCATGTGGAGAAGTGGGGAATCAAACCCGGTTCTCCCAGATTAGAGTCCGCGCTCCTAACCATGACACCTAACTGGCTCTCAAAGCCACTTCTCTGAACGTGCCCCAGTAGGTGTTGTCAGAGGTCACCTTGACTTCCAGGCACAGAAACAAGATTTTCCACATAAATCATGAGATTCTTTTAAGCATAAAAGGCACTATTGTTAGGCACTTACCACAGATTTCTTAAGGCCGCTCTTCATCAGATGACAACCGTAGCCATCACAGTGACTGCAAAAACAACTTTTAAGACATAAAACAATTTAAATATATACCAGATTATATACAAGTGGCCGGAGCATTGGACTTTATTATTATGCCTATATTCTACATACTTAAGTGCTGGCTTCTTGTAGGACTGAGTGGGAGAAGTAAAGGCAGAAAGCGCTCGGGCTAAATTTTGCCTCTTCGCCTCTGGGCCTATAATTCTAAACCATGAACACACAATGGGGATATCCAGGTACATGTGCCCCGTTATTTAACCCCCCCAACCCCCGCCCCCATCAAACACTGCATGTTCTCCACAGTTTACAATGGAGCTGCCCACATTAAGAGCAGGAAAAGAACTAAAGGGTCTCAAAGGGCGATTCTGCAGCTAGCCTTCGTGCAACATTTTCTCAACGGGGAGGAAAAGGTGCAGCTCAAAACCGCCTCCAAATACCTCAGGGCAACACCGTACTGACTGCGAAGTCACCCCCGAACGGCCATAAAACGGCCCTAGATCTATGCAGAAGGTTCCATAAAACCCGACGATCAAAGGAAGCGAAAACGACATGCAGTGTGGAGGCTACCATAAAACGTGATGATCAAAGGAAGCAAAAGCGGCTTGCAGTGTCGAGGCTACCATAAAATGTGATGATCAAAGGAAGCAAAAGCGGCATGCAGTGTGGAGGCTACCATAAAACCCGACGATCAAAGGAAGTGAAAGCGGCATGCAGTGTGGAGGCTACCATAAAACCTGACGTTCAAAGGAAGCGGAAGCAGCATGCAGGATGGAGGCTACCATAAAACCCGGTTATCAAAGGAAGTGAAAGCGGCATGCAGTGTGGCGGCTACCATAAAACCCGACGATCAAGGAAGCGAAAGCGGCATGCAGTGTGGCGGCTACCATAAAACCCGACGATCAAGGAAGCGAAAGCGGCATGCAGTGTGGCGGCTACCATAAAACCCGACGATCAAGGAAGCGAAAGCGGCATGCAGTGTGGCGGCTACCATAAAACCCGACGATCAAAGGAAGTGAAAGCGGCATGCAGCGTGGAGGCTACCATAAAACGTGACAACCAAGGGAAGTGAAAGCAGCATGCAGTGTGGAGGCTAACATAAAACCTGGTGATCAAAGGAAGTGAATGTGACATGCAGTGTGGCGGCTACCATAAAACCCGACGATCAAGGAAGCGAAAGCGGCATGCAGTGTGGAGAATACAGGAGGACTTGATTCTCCTATCCCCACTTGGTTTTGACCTCTGGGGGAAAAAAACATTAGGAAAAAGAAGAGGAGGAGGAGGATTTATGCCCCGCCCTTCACCAATACTGTTGTGGTAGCTACCACTGTAACAGTTATTTGTACAGCCAATCAAAAGCCTCGCTGGGCAGGAGTCCCCACCTGACTCCACCCACTTTCTAAAAAGATTTGGAGGGGGGCCAGGAAGAAGAAGAAATTGGATTTATACCCCGCCCTTCACTCGGAGTCTCAGAGAGGCTCACAATCTCCTTTCCCTTCCCCTCCCCACAACAGACACCCTGTGAGGTGGGGGGGGGGGCTGAGAGAGCTCTTCTGAGAACTGCTCTTGAGAGAACAGCTCTGAGAGAACTTGTAACTGACCCAAGGTCACACCAGCAGCTGCATGTGGAGGAGTGGGGACTCAAACCTGGTTCTCCCAGATTAGAGAACCATTACACCAAGCTAGTTCTCTTGCCCCCAACTACATCGTGTGTACCTGCAAAATTGGAGACATGTGAGTGTCCTCCGATAGATATGCCTAAAGAGAGAAAGAAACATCAGCCATGTTTGTAGCAAGTGCCCAAATGCTGGGCAAAACATCAGACACCAGGGATGAAACGTCTGCTTGAAATATGGCACATCTGGAACCAGGTGGATGGGTTAGGAGTCGGACCATGTGGTTTGTGTGGACAAGCACTATCAGACAGCCTCTTTATTCAACCGACATTGCTAAAGAGTTGCCGTATAGTAGACCAGACCAACTGGCCCTCTAGTCCAACACTATCTACAATGAGTTTCAGCAACTCTCTAGGCGAGGTCGCCCACCACTCTGTTGCCCAAGACGTTGAGGGGGAAGGCCTGTGGATCAGTCCAGTGGTCCATCTATTCCAGCATCCTTTCTCACACAGTGGCCAACCAGTTCCTCTGGAGAGCCAACAATGGGGCACGGAGGAGGAGGAGGAGGAGGAGAAGAAGACGAAGAAGAAGAAGAGGAGGAGGAGATTTATACCCCGCCCTTCACTACACAAAGGAGTCTCAGAGCAGTTTACAAACTCCTTTCCCTTCCCCTCCCCACAACAGACACCCTGTAAGATAGGTGGGGCTGAGAGAGCTCTGACAGAAATGGCTCTTTTTTCAAGAACAGCTCTGACAGAACTATGGCTTGCCCAAGGTCATCCAGCAGGTGCGAGTGGAGGAGTGGGGAATCAAACCCAGTCCTCCCAGATTAGAGTCTGCACACTTCACCACTACACCAAACTGGCTCTCTTATCATGAGGGGAAGGCCTCGGCCTCTAACTGAAAACTGACATATCCTACACTTTATAAAGTTAACCAGTAATACAGAACTGATCAGAAAACTTCCACAAACCATTTATACCCAGCCCTTCACTACCCAAAGGTGTCTCAAAGCAGCTTACAAACTCTCCTCCCCACCCCACAACAGACACCCTGTGAGGTAGGTGGGGCTGAGAGAGCTCTGACAGAAACGGCTCTTTTTTCAAGAACAGCTCTTGTCAGAACTACGCCTTGTCCAAGGTCATCCAGCCAGGTGCAAGTGGAGGCGTGTGGGAATCAAACCCGGTTCTCTCAGATTAGAGTCCGCGCACTTAACCACAATACCAAACTAAACTCTGGCTCACTGTAATCCTCCTTTTACCTATTTCAGGGGTGATGTCCTCGTCTATGGGCAGGGTGTCATTTGTACACCGTAGATGTATCGTGCTCCAAACAGTTTTTCCGTTGGAACTCTGACAGGTGCTCTTTTCAGAGATAGGACTCCTGGCTTGGTATCCATCCATGCACCGGTACTGCAGTTCCTGCCCCACTGCGTAGGTCGTCGACACAGCCTTGACATGCTTGGGGGATTTGAGGACCCTACAGAAACCTACTGGGGAACATGGCGAAAGGGGGAAATATGTGACTTCAATGGGTTTAGGATGGTGTAACTCTGCTGAGAATGGAGCTGCGGTGGCTCAAGTGGTTAAGATGCTGAACTGCAGGCTGTGGAAGGTCGGTAGTTCAGCTGTTCGAGACCCGAGTGTGCCGCATGACGGAGTGAGCTTCCGTCTCTAGTTCCAGCTCCTGCCAACCTAGCAGTTCGAAAGCAAGAGATTGCAAGTAGATAAATAGGGACCACTTCAGGGGGAAGGTCACAGCGTTCCGTGCGCCTCGGTGTTTATAGTCATGCCGGCCACATGACCACGGAAACGTCTTCGAACAGCACTGGCTCTTCAGCTTTCAAACGGAGATGAGCACTACAACCCTAGAGTCCGATTCGACTGGCTTTCAAGCAAGGGAACATATACCTTTACCTTTAACTCTGCTGAGAACAGCATTAAGAGTCAAATGACCTGCTCCAAGGCTTTCTTCCTGTCAGCTTTCTTCAGTGACCAATTTTCACACCCATTAATACTTGAAACCAATGCTTCCTCTAAACTGTGGAGTCCTGTTCGCAGAAATTCTACTTTGTGACCTCCCGGCATTAAAGCTGTGAGCGAGTGATTTGGCTGCTGCATAAATTAGTTTGCTCTGGAGCCATCCTTCCTGAGCGAAGACAAAAATGTGTGAGCTGGAGGCTAAAAGACTGTGAGCTGGCTCACACTGACTCAGCTTAGAGAGAACACTGCTTGAAAGAGGGGAACCTCCACATTCAGAGGCACTAATCCTCTGAATCCCTGAGCCAGGAAGCAACATCAGGGGAAGGCCTCAGCTTCTATGCGCTGTTGGCAGAGCCACTGCTTGGCATGCGGGAGGTCCCAGGTGCAACACCCAAAATTTTAGGTGGTGGCGTCTATCTCCTTCGTTACACAGAGGGCGATTAAAATGGGATTCCAAAGGGGATTAGATAGATTCATGGGGGATCAGTCTATCAAATAGCTACTAGCCATGGCGACTGAGGGGAACCTCCACATTCAGAGGCACTAATCCTCTGAATCCCTGAGCCAGGAAGCAACATCAGGGGAAGGCCTCAGCTTCTATGCGCTGTTACTGGCCGTCCAGAGGAACTGGTTGGCCATTGTGTGAGACAGGATGGACCACTGATCTGATCCAGCAGGGCTCTTATGTTCTTAAGAAAAGTAGACAATACATGAAGCAAAAAATAAACGTCAGAGAGAGAAAAGTGTGTGCTTGCAGTGCCTCCCTGTGGTAATACTTTGAAGAATCTCCAAATGTATAATAGGATGTCTGCAGGGATCGCTACGGCACTAGTTGGAATACCTGGTCCCACAAAACATGTCAAGAAGAAGAAGAAGAGATTGGATTTATACCCCACCCTTCACTTGGAGTCTCAGAGCGGCTTACAAACTCCTTCCCCTTCCCCTCCCCACAACAGACACCCTGTGAGGTGGGTGGGGCTGAGAGAGCTCTGACACAAACTGCTCTTTTTCAAGGACAGCTGTGCCAGAGCTTGTGACTGACCCAAGGTCACATCAGCAGCTGCAAGTGGAGGAGTGGGGAATCAAACCCAGTTCTCCCAGATTAGAGTCCACGCACTTAACCACTACACCAAACTGGTCAACATTCTTCCATCGTTAGCGCAGCAAAGGCAAACGATGGGGACACGGTTTCACCTTTCATAAAAGGCTGGGCTGTGGTTAGGGGGCCGTCCGTCCTCCCACTCTCCTCCCCAACTCGTGTCACAGGCTGTGTTGAAGGACGAAGAGACAGGCTCGGATCCACTGTATAGAAAAAAAAGAAGCAGCGGCATTTCCGTAAGGAAGGTGGGTATCCTGGCCGGATTAAGGGCAGGGTAGGGCTCTCTGTAGTGACAGACTTCACGTTCCTGGGATCCCAGATCACCGCAGACTGTGACAGCAGCCATGAAATTAAAAGATGCCTGCTCCTTGGGAGGAAAGCGATTGTGAACCTAAACAGCATGATAAAAAGTAGAGACATCACCCTGCCAACAAAAGTCCGCATGGTCAAAGCAATGGTATTCCCAGTAGTCATGTATGGCTGCGAGAGTTGGACTATAAGGAAGGCCGAGCGCCGAAGAATAGATTCTTTTGAACTATGGTGCTGGAGAAGACTCTTGAGAGTCCCTTGGACTGCAAGGAGATCGAATCAGTCAATCCTAAAAGAAATCAACCCCGACTGTTCCCTGGAAGGCCAGATAATGAAACTGAAGCTCAACTACTTTGGCCACCCAATGAGAAGGGAGCCCTCACTGGAGAAGAAGGCCCTGATGCTGGGAAAGACTGAAGGTCAAAGAAGACGGGGACGGCAAAGGATGAGATGGTTAGACAGTCTCATTGATGCAACGAACATGAAATCGAGCCAACTTCAGAGGTCGGCGGAAGACAGGAGGGCCTGGCGGGAGCTGGTCCATGGGGTTGCGAAGAGTCGGACTCGACTGTGCGACTGAACAACAACAACAAAGGGCTCTCCGTGGCATCATTTCGGGTAAGGAGGGGTTGTGGGAAGCAAAGGGCACCAGGGGATAGGATTGCTAGTCTTGGATTGGGAAATACCTGGAGATTTTGGAGCTTGGGGAGGCAGGGTGCAGGAGGAAGAGGGGGGGTTAATGCCACAGAGTCCACCCTCCACAGCAGCCATTTTCTCCAGGGGAATTGATCTTGGTCATCTGGAAACAGGCCCATAGCCAGGTTTTTGTGGCTTGTGGGGCAATTCCCCCCCCCCGGTGGGGCTGAAGTCCGCAGTGCAGAAAGAAAAGCCATTGAGCCCATAGACAGCTGTTACCAGGATAGATCTCTACATTGCCAGCTGTCAGCCACTTTAGATGACAGATCTCAACTGCTGCAATTTATTAATCAATTCTGCCAGCCTAAGAAACTATTCTGAGAACAAGCCGGAAGGCGGGGGTGACGACTTCTATAGTCAAGAAAGCCAACACTTGGGCAGAAAAATGCTCTCAAAGGAGACCAGTTTCTTGACACAGAGTTAGAAGGGATCCTAGAGGTCACCTACTCCAACCCCCTTGCTCAGTAGGGGAATTAGTCAACTGCAGCACCCCACTCTGCTTAAAGGAGCACACGCCTTAAAAACATTTTTTGTAAATAATCGAAAAAAGCATTTGCAGGAGAAATTCTTCTTTTTTATGATTTTTAATTAAGAAAAGACATAATGGGACAACAATGAAAAAACAAACAAACAAAACAAACAAAACCACATTGCAAGACAAATGTAATACAGACATGAAACTTCGAGAATAAACATAACCCATTGTAAGTACTACCAGCTTAACTTTGCTCTAAAAGCCTACCCTCTTAGAGATTGACCATTGCACTAAAACTCAAAAAGTAAAGCAATGATGATTGATCCTGAAAGACTTAACTGAACACTGCCAATATATGTATTGAGAAATTCTTGTGGGGCTGTTCCTTTGAAAAAGGGGGCGGAGCCCCCAAACCCCCCACTGTAATCACGGGCCTGATTGTACCTTTGAATCCTTTACAAGCTTCCTTCACAACACCCCCCTACCTTTTGACTGGGATACAAAGACTCAGAGATCTTTGTTCCTACTCGTATCTGATGAAGGGAGCTTTGACCCTTGAAAGCTTATACCCTGAAACTCTTGTTGGAGTTTAAGGTGCTACAGGACTCGAACCCAACTCTTCTCCTCCAGAGCAACAGGGCTACCCTCTGAAACTAGCGACAGTCGGGGAGAGGAAGGCAACCACAACGGGGGGGCTTCTTCTTTGGCACCCACTTTAACAAACCCGCCTGTAGACTCCAAAGGGGCACCGAAATGCATGTTGAATCTCAGTTCCTCACCTACGCATGTCACGGAGCTCCACCGCCCGAAACCGTCCCGGTCGGGGTTGCATTTAATGGTCCAGCCCTGCCCGCTCGGCCTCTTGTACCCTTGATCGCATTTGTACTTCACCTGGGTGCCAACCTGATACGACTCCGCAAAGAATTCGGCAAAGTCAACGGCCAGAGGAGAGGGGCATCTGTCTGCAAAGGAAGAGGAAGGCGTGCAAGTGGGAACACAACACAGGGTGTCCGAACCGGAACCGGAACCCAGCACACACTGTCGATGCACGCGGGGCATCTGCGTAGAAAAGGTGCATGCTGGCCAGCAGGGCGGCTGACATCAAGACCAACACAATAGCAATCCATTAAGTAGCATTAAAAATGACTAAAAACAAATGAGGAGGACCAAGAATTTATCGAAGAATGGATTGATTCTAAAGAGTATATAGAGACGAATTGGGACGTAAAAAATAATTTACTTTGCTTTGATAGTTATTAAGAACAGAATGTAATGGATTGATAAGATGGATATAATGTTATAATGTTACCTGAAAAATGGATAATGATGGGGTTATAAATGATAGTAATCTAAGAATTGATATGTAGGAGGGGGTGGGAGCATTCCGGGAGGCCAAGTGAGGGGGGGGGGGGTAAGTGGAATGAGAAAAGGATATATGTGGAAAGAAGTTGTATTGTTGAATATGTGGATATATCCGAATAATAAAAGTTGTTATAAAAAAAAAGACTAAAAACAATATATTAATCAAGTTGTGCATTACACTGTCCAAGATGGCAATCTTAGGATGCATTAAGGGAAGCATTGTGTCCAGATCACGGGCGGTGGTACACTCTATTCTGCTATGGTCAGGCCTCACCTGGAGTCCTGTGTCCAGTTTTGGGCACCACATTTTAGGAAGGATGCTGACAAGCTCGAGCGTGTCCAGAAGAGGGCAACTAGGGTGGTGAGAGGGTTGGAATCCAAGTCTTAAGAAGAAAGGCTGAAAGAGTTGGGCATGTTTAGCCTGGGAAAGAGAAGGCTTAGAGGGGACATGATTGCAGTCTTCCAATATCTGAAGGGCTGTCATGTAGAAGATGGAGCAGATCTATTCTCTCTTGCTCCGGACTGCAAGACTAGATCTAATGGGTGGAAATTACAAGGGAGTCGTTACTGGCTAAATATCAGGAGAAACTTCCTAATTGTAAGAGTGGTTGAGCAGTGGCACAGTCTGCCTCGGGATACAATCTTTTAGAATACATGCCACACCAATAACAAGGGACAATACAATAATCTTAGTGCTATCTTACTTACATAATGGTGCAAAAGCTCTCTGTTTCATAAGTGCTAGACAACAAGTCTTAAGAAATCTGTAATATAGTAATGTTCCCTTTGCTATGAAAACATACAAGGTATTTCAAATTACAAAGTATTTAAAAATAATCAACCCAGTAGTAACTTACACTAAATTCAGATAGGCCGCGGATTTCAGTTAACATTCAGGCTCAAAATATGCCGCTATGTTTCTAATCGATCCCGGGCGTCTCTCTCTCGTGATTGCTACCAGAGTGCAAATTGTATTTTTGTACACTACAGAATATCTCCTGAAGAAGATCCATTTTTGAAACGTCGTTATATAATCCGGAGACGACATTGATTATGTACCTTGGTTCAAGGATTTTCTTATGATTTGTTTATCATGTTGTAGTGCTTCAGATTGTAATACAGAGATAGCATTCTTTATAAGTTTTAATGACTGTTTGATTTGTGGGTCAGACTCTCCAATGTTCCCTCTAAGCTGTGGAATCCTGTGAGCAAAAACTCTACTTTGTGAGCTACTGGCATTAAAGTTGTGAGCAAGCGATTTGGCTACTCCATCAATGAGTTTGCTCTGGAGACGTCCTTCCTGAGCTAAGACAAAAATCTGTGAGCCGGAGGCTAAAAACTGTGAGCTGGCTCACACTAACTCAGCTTAGAGGGAACACTGCTCACGACTGTTGTCTTTATACTTGTTTACTGATCGGGTCATGTTTGTCCAGATTTATCTTCAGGGTCTTGGCCAGAGGTCTTTCACATCCGCTACTGCCTGCTCCTTTTTAACTGGAGATGCCGGGGATTGAACCTGGGGCCTTCTGCATGCCAAGCAGATGCTCTGCCACTCAGCCACAGCATGGGCAGACCTATCCTATCAGCAACCATCACTCCATCTTGTGGCAGTGAGTTCCATAAGCTGACCATCTGTCAGCTGAACCAACCGCCGTCCAGCCTCATCATGCGGCTTCACATTCTAGTCTTACAAGAGGTAGAGTTTTTTAAAAGTCCCTTTCTCCATACTATTCCCAAATTTAAATATTTATACTGTATCGTAGAATCACAGTGTTGGAAGGGGCCACAAAGGCCATCTAGTCCACCCTCCCTGTTTCATGCAGGATTAGCCCAAAGCATCCCTGACAAGGGTTTGTCCAGTTGCTGCTTAAAGACTGCCAGTGAGGGGGAGCTCACCGCCAGTGTTCCCTCTAAGCTGAGTTAGTGTGAGCTAGCTCACAGTTTTTTTGGCCTCTGGCTCACACATTTTTGTCTTCACTCTCAGGAAGGAGGGCTCCAGAGTAACCTAATTTATGCAGTAGCCAAATCACTTGCTCACAGCTTTAATGCCAGGAGCTCACAAAGTAGAATTTTTGCTCATAAGACTCCATAGCTTAGAGGGAACATTGCTCACCACCTCCCGAGGCAGTTGATTCCACTGTGGCACAACCCTTAACGGTAAAAAAAGGTTTTCCTGAGATCCACAAACCTATTATTGTCAGCTGCCAACAGGAACAGCTCCCTGCCCTCCTCTAAGGGACAGCCCTTCAAATACTTCAAGAGAGCCATCCTGTCCCCTCCTCAACCTCCTCTTCTCCAGACTGAATATTCCCAAGTCTCTCAGCCTTTCCTCACAGGGCTCGGTCTCCAGGCCCCCGATCATCCTCGTCGCTCTCCTCCGCACCCGCTCCATTCTGTCCACATCCTTTTTTGAAGTGAGGCCTCCAGAACTGCACACAGGACTCCAGATGCGGCCTGACCAAAGCAGTGTATAGCGGGACTATGCCATCTTGCGATCTGGATGTTATGCCTCCATTGATACACCCCAAGATCGCATTTGCCTTTTTTGCCGCCGCATCACACTGGCTGCTCATATTTAACTTACAGTCCACCCGTACCCCAAGACCTTGCCCATACACACTGCTATGCCACACAAGCCATCTTTTTGTTCTAAACGAATGCTACCCAAATGCTTTTAGCCTTTCCTCATAGGAACGAGGCTCTAAATCAGGGCAGCTTTTCAGGTGCTGAGGGCTCACAGTTGAACTACAGCTTCTGGGCCTCACACGTGGACATACATGGAAGGTGCCTTCTGTTGAATCAGACCACTGGACCATCAAGCTGGGAAAAGTATCAGGAAGGCAACCAAGATGATGAGGGGGTTGGAGCACCTGTGAGGAAAGGCTGAAGATTCTGGGATTGTTCAGTTTAGAAGAGACGACTAAGGGGGGGGGGGGGGGGGGGGATACGATAGAGGTTTATAAAATGATGCATGGGTTGGAGAGAGTTGACCAAGAAAGCTGTTTCTCCCTCTCCCAAAAGACTAGAACTTGAGGGCATCCAATGAAGAAGAAGAAGGGAAGAGATTGGATTTATACCCCGCCCTTCACTACCCAAAGGAGTCTCAGAGCAGCTCACAAACTCCTTTCCCTTCCCCTCCCCACAACAGACACCCTGTGAGGTAGGTGGGGCTGTGAGAGCTCTTGACAGACACTGCTCTTTTTTTCAAGAACAGCTCTTATCAGAACTACGGCTTGCCCAAGGTCGTCCAGCCAGGTGCAAGTGGAGGAGTGGGGAATCAAACCCAGTTCTCCCAGATTAGAGTCCGCGCACTTAACCACTACACCAGACTGGGTCTCTGATGGGCAGTAGGCTCAGGATGGACAAAAGGAAATACTACTTTACACAGAAAGTGATTAAAGCGTGCAATTCACTGCCAGGGGATGTATTTTTATTTATTTATTGTTAACATTTTTACCCCGCCCTCCCCACGAGCGGGCTCAGGGCGGCTTACAAGAGGGCACCAGCCCATACATAAAAACAGGATAAAACAGTAAAACCATTAAATTAAAAAAAAAACGTAGTGATGGCCACAGGAACAAACAGCTTTCAAAGCGGATTAGTTAGATTCATAGGCTGAGGGAAACCTCCACATTCAGAGGCACTAATCCTCTGAATCTCTGAGCCAGGAAGCAACATCTATGCCCTGTTGGTGGCCCTCCAGAGGAACTGGTTGGCTGTGTGAGAGAGGAGGGAGGGGAAGGGAAGGGGAAGGGAAGGGAAGGGAAAGGAGATTGTTAGCCTCTCTGAGACTCTGAGTGAAGGGTGGGGTATAAATCCAATCTCCTCCTTCTCCTCCTCCTCTTCCCCTCCAAATCTTTTTAGAAAGTGGGTGGAGCCATGGTGACCATTTTGTAATTGTGCTCATCACCCTGTGTCAGAATTCCAAATGTGCCTGCAGGCTCAAAAATTTTGGGGACCTCTGCCTTAGGCCACCCCATGCTGAAGTGGCCACACAGAATAACCCCAAATCTACCCCTCCATAAATTGTACCGAGGTTCAAGTACACAGTATGTAACTTTGGGGAGGCGGAAGAGGTATGCTAAAGTCTCCTAGACCTCTGAAGTCTGATCCAGCATCTCTTCTGATGTTCTTATGAAGGCCTCAGCCTCTCTGTCTGTCCTGTTGTTGGCCCTCCAGAGGATCTGTTTGTCCACTGTGTGAGACGGGATGCTGGAATAGGTGGACCACGGGTCTGATCTAGCAGGGCTCTTCTTATGTTCTTATGAAGGCCTCAGCGTCTATGCCCAGTTGTTGGCCCTCCGGAGGAACTGGTTGGCCACTGTGTGAGATGGGATGCTGGACTAGGTAGACCACGGGTCTGATCCAGCAGGGCTCTTCTTATGTTCTTACGAAGGCCTCGGCCTCTCTGCCCTGTTGTTGGCCCTCCAGAGGAACTAGGGCTGCCAAGTGGGGGCGGGTGGCGGGTAAACCCCCGCTTTGGAGGCCCGATTTCCGCCACTGCGGAATCGGGTTCCGGGGGGAACTCCGTCTCCTGAAGCGCAGCGTGGTTGCTTCACCAGAGGTGATGCAACCATGTCGCTCACGTTGGGGGCATGGC